CGTGACGACTAGATTTTTACAGAATAGGGTGGTTGTTTCTATGCGTAATTCCCAACCTCCAGGCCCAGGCACTCTCTTGTCGGGGTTATCATACCATAGTCGTTGTGACCCGGTTTAAGGACTTGGACACTCTGCTTTTACCCAGTCCTCTCTGGTCCAGACTTGCAAACTTTCCTTGTTAGTGCGCACCGATGTAACCAGCCGAAAACTCTGTACAGTTTGGCAAATCTTGGCCGTTGAAGATCCGCGGTGGGCGGTACCTATGGAGCTCATTTCACTGTTATAGTTCACATTGTGCGCACTAAATACGGTGTCATGGTTTCATTAGTCAAAAGACCAACAACTTCATCATATAAAGCATTACAATATGTTGACCAATTTTAGGTTGATATAATCCACAAAGATCTACAACTTCACCTGATGTATTTGTGAAAAACTGTAATATTACGATCAGTCGTACTACGGTCCTCGTACTCCTTCTCATGTCCAATCGACCGGTCAAGGTAGATTTGCCAAGCTGTAATTATGATATCAAACTATGAAGTAGTAATTATTTAACGATTTAAATATTTAAAATTTCTTCAAAGTCCCATAAGTCATCGTACTCCAACGGGTTTTGCATGATTTTTACAATATGATCGTGAATTAAAGTTTTTTAAATAGGTATAATTATTAATTTTAAACAGATTTATAAGTAAAAAAAACTCTTAAACTCAAGAAATTAGCAAAATAAATTAACAATTCTTCAAAATTGTTCCATTGCAACCTCACAAAAGTAATTGTACAGTTCCAAATGTTGCAATGAACGATGAAATCTGCGTAGTACTAGTACTTTGTAGGTTTCCCATTCGCGTTTAGTACAGCTTTCAATCTTCTCGGCATTAATTGCACAAGCTTTTCAGTATAAGAAATCGGAATTTATCCCCATTTTGCTTACAATGCAACTACCGATTCCTTAGTGCTAATGTCGTGTTTTCTAATTGCTTTTTCTAAATAATCCCACACGTGTTCTATGGGGTTAATATCTGGTGACTGTGGTGGAAAATGTAGCTGCTTAGACACATTATATAAAAGCCGTTCGCCACCTACATGCGCTGTATGTTTTGGGTCTTGATCCTGTTGGAAGACCTAACTGTTTCCAAGGCTCAATTGTATAGTATTTTGTATTAAATTGGCCTTTAAAATATTTAAATATTGCCCACCTCTATGCTTAACTGTTGGTAGAGGATTTTTTAAATCTAGCGCTGTACCGACTTTCCTTCAAATTTTACCTGTACCATCACATCGAAAAATGTTGTATTTTGACTAGTCTGTAAACATCACATATCTTTTTCTTTGTGTATTTTTGGAAATTCAATACGTTTCTTTCTCACAGTTTCTGCACTTACAGTTTTATTAACTTAATTTTAAATGTTTGCTGTTATTTTTGGGGCACTTGTCCGAGGATTTGCGATAACTTCTTTTCTAATGCTTCGTTCATCTAGGGGAGTTAGCAATTTTGGTCCGTACGTTGTGTATTCTCAATATTTCCGGTATCTACAATCTTTTTAATTATGTACTGAATAGTAGAAGCACTGTTATCAAGTATTTGTATGTGCTGTCCTACCATCCTTCCCTACTTATGTCACATTTTCAATTTTTGTTTAGAGCATGACGTTTATCCTGATTTGTGGAAAGTAGCTTCGGTTATTCTGGTACCTAAGAAGAGCAGTTGTAAGGATTTGAACGATTTTGACCTGTTAGTATTCTGCCAGTGCTTTCAAAAGTTTTCGAAAAAATTATTGGTGTCAGAATTTAGAAACATGTTGATTCATGTCCCATTCTAATAAGCAGTCGGGTTTTCGAAAAGGATTTAGTTGTACATCTGCTGAGATGGCATGCTGAGAGGAATTGATAGCGGGTGTGTTATAGCTCTTGTGTTGCTTGATTTTTCAAAGGCATTTGACACTCTATATCACATAACTCTTATTTCAATATTGCATTACGTCGGGTTCTCCCCGTTGGCTGTTCGTCTGATTAGTAATTACTTATCATCGATCTCAGTTCGTAAAGATGAGACAATCCCTATGATCTCTGGTGTACCTCAGGGATTTATTCTGGGTCCAATATCGTATTTAATATACACATTTAATCTTACTAGTCAATTAAAATTTTGTGAAAGTCATATGTATGCAGATAATACGCAAGTTTATTATACCTTTGATAGGGACAATGTTCGGAACGCAGAAGTATGTATTAATGCTGACCTTGATAGACTGCTTGGTTATGTTAAGAGGCACTATCTTACTATTAATTCTACCAAGTCGTATGTTATTGTTCTTGGTCCGCATGTGGTGAAGGATTCGTTAGATTTTCGACTTGACTATGTTAAACTTGGCATTTCATCTGAGGCGCGCAATCTTGGAATCATTTTAGATTCAGATCTGAGATTCAGGAGACATATTAGTAGACTTCTACAGCGTGCATATTCTGGTCGCAAGATCTTATATACATATTTTGAGCCAGAACTTGAAAATTCATTGTTGTGAGGCGCTTGTACTCTCTTTATTTAATTTTGGAGACGCTCTTTACCACTCGTGTATTGATAGTACGTATAGGGATGGGATTCAAAGAGTGCAAAATGCTTGCCTGCGTTTTATTTACGGCTTTAAAAAGCGTGACAGGATTTCTCATACATTGTCTTGGGCAGGTAGGCTTAATATGTACAGGCGTCGACTCTTACACACATTGTGCTTATATCACAAAGTTTTGTTGTTTAAAACTCCTTATTTATACAATAAGATTTCTTTCCGGACTGACGTTCATAACATTAATATCAGGCGCAGGAATGCATTGACGGTTCCGCGGCATCGCACAGAGATTTTTAGGAGGTCCTTTTCGTACTGTGCGATTCCGGATTTTTTGAAGCTGGAGAGTGTGTGGGGTTTTAGGACTAAGTTGAGACCGGAAATTGCTCGTCGGGTTGGATTAAATTGGAAACTTTAATTATTGTATAAGAATGTTTACTCTTTTTTTCCATTAAAATTTTTTTTTCCTGGTATAGTAAATATTATCTTGTTTTGTTTTTTTTTATTATTGTTTTCTTTCTTTTTTTTTGCTAGGACCAATGAAAAACATTTGGTCCTATTTAATTTCTAAGTAAACATGATTTTCATGATTTTATGTTATATTACACTAACTTGTTGTATTGGGAATTAATAAACATACATTATTATTATTATTATTTGAGTGCTACAATATCTCAGAGTGCGGGAAGTTAGCCCCCATTTTTTGGTTTTTAAATTTTGCATTGTTCTGGAGTTGTTCTACATCGTTCCAAAGCGGCAAATAGAAAAAATAAAAACTCGGCGAGAAAATCGAAAAACGGGTTTTTTTGCTAGCCCCCCATTTTTGGAAAAATCAGATTTTCTTTGTTGTTCTGGGTTGTTCTAGTTATTGCTCATTACGAAGTTATAACTAAAAATAGGTTTGGCTGCCAAAATGTCTAGTTGATTGCTGTGACCATAGTTTTTCTATTTTCAATTCCATATTGCAAATATATACTTATTATACCTAAAGCAATCTGGAACGGCTATTATTTGCAGTATAATAGTTATTTGCAACTCTATAAGATTAACTCTAAAGATTTTGGAAGTTTAAGTCAGTAATTTTTGCGTCAGCGGTTTTAAATTACACAATAACAATTAAAAAACATGTAACGATCTAAAATAACTCAAACTTTGCTGATTCAAATTGTTCTAGGTGTGTTTTACGTTTAAACTAGGCAAAAAAGGTTTTTCTGGCTACACGAACATTAATTTTGCAAAATGATATCTTCCTAAAAATACAGCAAAATGCAGACCTTAAAAAAAGTAATAAATCAACTGAATAATCCAACTATTCGATCAGCAAACAGAAATATACTATTTGTATTATACAATATGTATTAAAAACTAAATATTTCTGTGTCCCACCCATACAGAAATATACCGGGTGTTTCATTTAAAATGACATATGCTTATATCTCAAAAACAAAAACTCGAATCGAAAAAAGTTTCAAGTAAACATTTTTTAGTGAAAAGGGGGGCACAGGGTACACATGAGCAGATTTTTTTTTCAGGGTTGCCTAAAGGCCCAAAAAATTATAAAATTATACTAGAAATAAAAAGTTCTGTTCACGTGTACAATGTATCCCCCACATTCTACACGTGAACAGATTTTTTTCAGGGTTGCCTAACGGCCCTTCTGACGTCATTTTTATTTTTTCAAATGGCACATATACTTTTTTCTTTCAAAGAACTTTTTGCTTAAAAAATGTTTGTCTTAAACTCTTCGTTGTCAAGATATCAACAAAAACAAAAATAAAATAACATGTTTCAAAATGTAATTAAAAAAAATGAAACTTCAACGCCTGTTTCCGTTCTTCGGGGTGGCATGGCGTTTGTTTATGTGATAAAGGGAGTGCAACGATTACTGGTAGATTAGGGAAGGTTAGGTAAGGTTAGCCGCACGGGAAATCATCGGTAATTCACAAAGACATGGGGAAATTCCCGTCAGTCTTCAGCTGTCCGATTACTTTTGTGAGATTGCAATGGAATAATATTGAAGAATTATTAATTTATTTTGTTATTTTAAATTTAGGTGTTTTTTATTTACAAATGCGTTCAAATAAAATAATTATAACTATGATAAATAAATTAACTCTTATATACAATTCTGTTTTAGACATTTTGCAAAAACCGTTGGTGTGCGATGACTTTTGGTACTGAGTGTAAGTAATATTGGATAATACAGCATTCTATAATATAATATATAGAATATTTATTTTAGAACATAATTCTAATACAATACTTTTTCGATAATGAATAAGGAAAAGAAATTATTAAAATATTAAACATTCAAACAATATTTACAGTTTCAATAATGTATCTATATTATTAAAAGCTGTAGTTTAGCAGAAGTTTTAGCTACCATAAAATAGATGGCGTCCGCACAAAAGTGCAAACCGTGCAAACATGAACAAATTGGTTAAACTAACATAAACGAATTCTTAGAAACACTAAAAATTAATTAAATTGTTTTCTAATTAATAACTTCTATAATTGAACATAATTTCATGTCCCTAACACGAATAGCGATGATTAGATATACAAAATCCCCACTCAAAAACAACGTGGATATTCAGTCAGCAATCAGAATTTTTAAAGAATTACGTCAGTCAACAGCAATCCGTGAGCAATCCTGTTTTCCTTTCGGTTGATTTTCGTTATTGGAATGCTATTAAGGCGTAGTCAGTTCTAGATATACCACAAAAAGTTTAAGTACTTTAGATTTTACTTGTAAGTCTTATTAGAAGGTTGTCCATCAATCTAGAAAATATAACATAAGCAGAACCATTTTACTGTTGTCCAAGAGGTTTAAATCATATTTTGGGACAAAATTGGTTTGTAGATACAACAAAATGTTAAAATCTGCGCCGGAAAGTCTCCTAACCGTACTTTCAAATGTACAACCTTATTTTGAAGAAAACATAATAAGAGTAAGTATCTGAAACATCATTATAATGAGATTAAATTGTACTGATACATTATAATTGTTATATTAGGATTTTAAAGATTTTAATGAGAGAAGAACTAGACGTCCACCATCGTTTTTGGATATTCCAAATGTACTTACAGTACACGAATCGGAATCTAAGTTAGTTTGAGACAATTTTTTGATTAATTCTTAAATAAAAAAAAACGATTTTCTAGGTTAATGAAAAATATAAAGCTTATGAAGCAACCCAACTTTAAAATACAATCGGTTGAGTTGTGCATGAAACAGCTTTATTTAAAAGTATCGTTGGAAATTGAACAGGTGTTAGTTGAGGCTCAATATGAAATGTTCAATAATGAATCGAAACCAACTGAGAAATACAATGAGACTGGAAATTTAATGTAAGTGTAATCGTAGGGTCGTTTGTGTATGGTAATTTCCTTTGAAAGTTTTGTAACCAATTTTATATTGAAGAAATTGATATCATTAGAACCTTGAACCTGCCTTATATACCTTAGGTATCTAGTGCACAAGCTCTCAAAATTGCATTAAAAATAATAAAAATATAACTCAATTGAGAAGTAACTATTGAATTATGAGCTTGTAAATCTTCCACAGACTTTATAGACCCAAAAATAAAGATAACACTAAGATTTGTTTGCAATGAGAGGAAAAAAGTTTCTTAAAAAGGAGTTGTGGGGTTTTAATATGCAGATTTTCTAGTTTTAAAAACGTATCTTTTTATTAACAGTTATTAAAATTGATCTTGTAGATGTCTGCAATGTTACTGGCGTGAAGTTATCCATAAATCCCAGCCATAAACTTAAAACATTAATAATTCCTTAAGCAGGAGATTTGTTTCTTCAAACTCGTTAGCAACTCGAAATGACAAACTAATTCAGGATAGGATTGAGGACATTAAAGAACAATTATTTCAAACAACAAATTAACCTTAACGTCAACAAAGAAAAACTGTTGAAAACTTACAAATTGATTTGAAAATTGCGAAATAATTAATAAAATCAGCTGCAACGTACAGGGTGGGCAAATTTGGGTGTTATTATAGGCTATCTCAAAAACTATAAGAGACATGAATAAAGTAGGTGCCATGTCCTGATCTCTTTTTTCGAGACTAATCCAATCTCGCAAACACCAAACCTCTATCTTCTTTTGTTTTTAAGTTATAGCCAAAAAGTCAAATTTTCTTGATTTCAAAAAATGCTCATATTTCGTTTATTTTTGAAATTAGAGAAATGGGGTTGATACGTTCTTAAGACACTTTTTTAAGTAGAATATAGTGCCGTTGAAAAATTTTAAACATACTTGATGATTTTTGAGATACAACACAAAGTTGTTTTTTTAAATACAAACTATACTTAATTATGATGTTACTGGAAAGAGCATACTTTTAGCTTTCCAATGATATATCGCATGTATGGTGTATTTACAGAAAATAAGCATTAATTTCAATTCCAAAATAGTAAGCGCCATGGTTCAAAATTTTGATTATAGTAGGCGGGTCCGGACAATAAATACTACCTAGGGGCTATAATATATGGTTTTGCACGAATATGACAGAATAAAGTTGGTTTTGAACCAACGAATAAAAACTTTGAATAGTTAATTTAACTTTCTCAGCATCTTATCCCTGACTTTGTTCACCAATAAAAAATGGTTAGCAAGTAAAGTTTGTTTACTAAAAATTCAAGATATATATTAATTGATGAATAATTAAATATGGACAACTTCATGAACTAAACAGTCACAAACTGTCATCTTCTTCTACTAAACTTACTGGTTGTAAGGTTAGAACAGTTGGGAATCAATTAATGAAATCTTCGCTAGTATTTTTCCAGTTTTCTCCAAACATAAGATTTAGAAGTTTTTTGATATCAGCAATCTTTTCTTTTGAAATTGGGTGAGATAGAGGAAAGTTAGGGATCATAAACTGGGAGCGGACTTTCCATTGAAACACCGTTTCAATGGGGATATGAAGACTTATGTATCATCTTCAAAGCAGACTCCTATATATTCTATATTTAATTTTATCGTTTTATTTAAAGATAATGCGGAACTTCTTAAACGGGAAACTTGTTTCGTAAAATTCATAGATATCTTATATAGATGTGACATTTACGTAAAATTTTTGTACACGGCACCAGCGCTCCGAACGGCTCGGCCCAGTACTAATATTAAATAGCGGCTAACGTGATAAATCTAAAATTTAATATTTTCTAATTTTTTTGTGTGGAATTAAATAAAAAAATAAAATCATTTGTGGATTTTAATAATCTGTTTATTAAAATTATTATCATAAACATAAAGTCTTATTTTAATATAAAAAAATAACTATAAACAATGTGTAATGATTAATGATACACTGTTAAAAATTTTACGAAGTAATTTAACTCTTCGGTATAGGGTGAAATATTACCGCGAAAAAGTGATAAATTTACCTAAATTCTAATAGGTTGCAACACGTTTGAGAGTCAAAATAACTTTGTTAAAAGATGTTAAAAATACGGTGTTAATCTGTTTATTCCTCACAGTGTAACTTTACACTTTATAATACCTTATACCCCTTTCCATTTTGTAGCATTAAATGTAATGCCAATATTTTGTCATCAAGTGTATAACGCCTCCCCTGCAACCTTCTTCCTTCGTTGTCATATTGGCTCAAAAAAAAAGGATTGTTTTAGTGTGTCTAAACTTGAAATTGACTGCTTAAAAAGTTGTCTCTTTGGTAATAATTTTCTTTTATTTCTTTAGGATGTTATACTCTGGCGCTGGAATTTCCTCTTATACATCACTGCTTTCCTGTATAAATGTTGGGCTTTTGGTGATAAGTCGTCTTGTTTGTGGACACCAACTTCCTCCAATAAACTCTCCCTTTGTTTAGCTGTCAAAAAATATCCAATAATGATCCCGATTAACGCTGTTTCCCCATTAAGCGGGGTTACCCTGTAATATGAAATCAAACTTTAAAAAAATTATACTACATTCTTTTGTAATAAAAGGGAAATTAAACGTTTTTTGAATGATGTTTCGTTTATTAATAAATAACTCTTATTAAGAGTTATATGCCATTATAGGTAATTTAACCAGAGCTTTTCAAAATAAACGATTTATAAAACACATAATTTCTTACCTGAAGTCTCCAATGAGATTGCACTGGTGGATGTTGAAGCAACCTAAAGTCCCATATCTGCATGTGGAGTAGTGGGCGTGTTATTCGAAGCACTTGAAGTAGTGACTTCTAAGTACTGATATCCTACATGTGAAAAAAAATATGCCTCAGTCCTAACAACATTTTGATAATTTTATACACATACTGGCAAATTTAATGATGGTACTACTCCTTTCAACAATTTGTTGTTACGTCCAACATCCTCTCGTCGAAAAGGCTTATCACAAACTCGAAAATTATTATAAACCCTCAAGTGTTCACACTGAAGCAGGTTTTCTCGCACACAACATAAAACCCATCTTTGATATATTTCTGGATACATTTGTGGGTTTGGAAATCGGTAGAAACTTCCATACCTTTGTACGCATCCACTAATGGCGCAACTTTTTGACATTTTCTGCTACAAGAAAATAAGATGCATATATATTTATTTTACAAATACCTAATCCAGTTCCATAATCAATGTTTAAATTTCAGAGGTTTTTTATGAGCATTAGTTTCCATATTATTTTAAGGGCAACTTATATTTAAAAATTTATTGTGAAACTGGAGATCATAATATAATAATATGAAATAAATAAAAAAAAGTATATCAAATGTACTTACCACGAATAAAATTTCGTAAATTTCTTTAAAATGTACTATCAAACACAAAGCCGCATCAAAACACTAACCAACTTGACAAACAATTTAGAAAACAGTAGAAAAACAAATTGACGAAACGACTACTTAAATCCTAAAATATTTATTAATTTAAACTGCCAAGATAAAGTAGATATCTAAAATGACGTCACTTTGTAGGAACACGACGTTAATAAGTGCCAGGGGTATGGTAAAATCACGAAGTAGTATACTACTTCGTGGGTAAAATTCATGAATGAAATGACAAGTAAACTCACGTTGCTATAGTAACTAAGTAGCATTTAGCGTTTTCTTCGCCTACTATAATTAAAAATTTTAATTTTTTCTTTAATATTTTAAAATTGAAAAATAACGCTTATTTTCTGCAGATTCATCATGCGTGCGATACATCATTGGAAAGCTAAAAATATGCGCTTTTCAATAACATCATAATCAACTATAGTTTGTATTTAAAAAAATATAACTTTATGTTATATCTCAAAAATTATCAGCTATGTTTAAAATTTTTCAACGACAGTATATTCTACTCAAAAAAGTGCCTGTAGAATGTATTAATCCCATTTCTCTAATTTCAAAAATAAACGAAATATGAGCATTTTTTGAAATCGCTAAAATTTTGCTTTTCGACTATAACTTAAAAACAAAAGAAGATAGAGATTTGGTCTTTGCGGGATTGGATTAGTTCCGGAAAAAGAGACCGAGACATGGTGCCTACTTTTTTCGTATCTCTTATAGTTTCTGAGATAACCTATAATAACACCCAAATTTGCCCACCCTGTACATCTCAAACCATGTGAGAACCGTAAAGCTTGAACATCGGTCAAATAATAAGAACAAGCAAAACAAGTTTTGAACGTAAAGCACCTATTTCACGTGAAGCAGGAAAACGTGGAATTTTAAAAAAAAAGTTAAACACATTGGTAAAAGATTTATTAAACAACAAGACAATTGACGATATACAGTTCAAACAACTTACCAAATATAATTCAGTTTTATCTAAAGCTTACGTTCTACCCAAAGTCGACAAAGAAGAGATTCCACTTGGACCAATCATTTCTTTAGTTGACTCAGCCAATTATGGTGTTGCATTGGTGTTCGCCAGAATGTTGACAGTTGTTTTCGACCCACTTACCACTTATAATGTAAAAACACACGTTTGAGTTCATCAGAGAGTTGAGGGGCATAGTGTTGTCAAAGAACTTTATGGTTGTTTCATTAGACATAGTTAGTTTGTTCACTAACATCCCGATTTCTTTGGTCATTAACATAATTATTGAGAATTGGTATCAATGTCAGACCAGTTTGATGTCGACAAAGACTTGTTTCTCAGAGCCCTTTCCTTTATTTGTGATAACACCTTTTTCAATTTTAATGGTACTTCATGCCAGCAAATTTTTGGGGTTCACCTATATCACCCATTTTAGCTCAAATAGTAATGGATCACAGTCTTAATAAAATTATACCTAAATTAAATTTTAACTTGCCCTTCATCAAGAAGTATATGGTTGACATTATTCCCATTGGCTCTGAGAGGGAGGTCCTTCAGACGTTTAATGGTTTTAATAGTCACAT